GTTTTTTTCAACTTGCATAGTTCAAAACTTGCTGAACCCGAAACAAGTGAAGAAGGTTGGTGTACTGTTGTAGGGTTATAGCGGTCCCTGAGATGACAGACCAGTGCTTGTGTTCAAACATCACACTAGCAACATACTTAAGACATTTCCTTAATTAGTCTGCATTGCACCTGATGAAGTTAGACTACATTTGATCTAGCAAATGGGATGGAGAAAAGGAAGGATAAGACTGAATGCAGTGACTGAGATGCTTTAAAGCAAAAGTAGAAAACTTACTGCTGGAACTTCTTTACCAGGTATTCTGGCGGTGCCAAGTCTATCCAGGGTAGACTGCACTGAGGTACAGATGATTGCCAGCATTAGCTTCTATCTGGCTCTTGAAGTGGGTCTTATAATTGCCATAATCAGTAAGTAATCAACTTAGACTTTTCTTCAGGAGAACAACTCTCTGTGGAACACTTGACTACCTGCCTCCTGAAATGATTGAGGGAAGAACACATGATGAAAAGGTGGATATTTGGAGCCTGGGAGTTCTGTGCTATGAATTCCTTGTAGGGAAACCACCTTTTGAAGCAGAAACATACCAGGAAACCTACAGAGCTATTTCCAGGGTATGTGCCAACACTTATCTGGACTAGCTGAATTGTGCTGCCTTTCGGTTCTGTTGTCTTATTGAAGCTTAACAAATGGTCATCTTGAAGAAGGGCATGTATTATAACTAAACTGTAGCAAGACATAATGATATGCATAAAACTAGATCCCTAAAGCTGTCTTCAGTCATTCAGTAGAATGACTATAAGAGACCTTAAGATACATTGCCTTACTTCCTTGGTTCTACTCTGTTTCTGCCTGCATCTGAACTTCTACCTCTTTCATAAAGCAACTAATCTTCTCCATATCTTTCCTTTTCTAATTTAAAAAATGAATATTTAACATTCAAGGTGTTACTAAAAATACATAAGCTTAACTTTTCCTGTTGTATACCCTAGAAAGGTTCCAGCAAACTAATCTTGTTTGAAGTACATTGAAAAATGCACTAGCTTAACTTCCACAAGCAGTGAGAACCTTGTTTTCTTCAGGATTGTGATAAAATTACTTAATCTCATCTCAATAGGCATAAGGTACATAGCCCACAAGGCTGACACAGCTCTCCTTTCTAGATCTACCTTGGAGGGTAGAGCCCTTTTGTCTTTCTAGTTCGGTTATTGCCAAAGAACTTTTGCGTCATCTTTAGTGTCCTTCCTCTTCCTTAGGTGGAATTCAAGTTTCCTCCATTTGTAACAGAAGGTGCGAGGGATTTAATTTCAAAGCTTCTGAAGCATAACCCATTCCATCGACTGCCCCTGAAGGAAGTGCTGCTTCATCCCTGGATTACAGCAAACTCTACAAAGATGCCCAACAGCAGAAAGAGTGATGTTGCTGCCCCACCCAGAACATAGTCTTAGCAGGAGTAACCTCATGGGATCAACAAGAGGAGTCTTGTACTGTGACTACTGTAATGCTTACAATAGGAAAAGCAGGTCTTGGAATCTAATGGCGATTGGAATGCAAATCTTTGGCTTGGCCATCTTAAACTCTAATTGCAATGTAAAATTATTTGACTTTTAGCTGGAGGCTGTGGAATACTTAATATACTTGAAATCGTTACATGTGTGCCAGGTTTGTTGGTGTAAGTATTAAGCTGTTCAAGGCTCTTATGGTGTGGTCTGTCCTGGTAATGGCTCATTGTTCCAACAACAAGAGGAAGTTGTCGTTCTAGCTTATTGAACAGTGCAATATCCCGGAGATACCTGCCTCCTAACTTACTGGGCTGCTAAGAGTATCATAACTGTGGTGTAATCTGAAACTGAGCGAGGTGAATGCATTTCTCTACATGTCCTAAAAATGTGTGCATTGTTTGTCTCTATTTTGTCTTAAATGTGAGCACTCAACTTTTTAAATAAAGACTTGTTATATACTGCCACCAGCATGGTAAGATTCCTTATGGCATTTACCACTTCCACTGGCTGTCTCTTAACCACTTGTCTTTACCATCAGTACAGCTTGACTCCTCGCCTATGATCACAAAATAAGTTTACTTCCCACCTCTGTCAAAAAGGAAGCTGGCGTAAAGTTCTTGCTCAAAGTGCTGGTACTGCAAAGTAGATGTGGTCACTTACTATTCTACAATCACAACACAGGATTATAAGTGAAGTACCAAATGTGTTGCTACTTACCTTGTGGGTTTTCTACAACCATTGAAACCTTGGCCTGCTTCTTCCTTTTGTTTAAATAAATACAGTTATTCAAAGACAACAGGGTCTGAAAGAACTTCTAAGAGAAAGGTCTGGAAAGTATTGTTATCAAATGGGATATGTAACAGGAACTAATGTTAACATCTGGTGTTGTAAGATGTTATTCCCCAAAATGTGGCAAGGGTCAGACCACTCACCAAGAGAACATACAAACCAACTATTTTCCAGTAAAACACTTCAAGCAAACTAAGAGAAAGCAATTTATTGTTTCCTATTTTACAAACCATTTTAAAAAATAATCCTCTTACAAGCAAGGATTCTAAATTCAAAATATATTCTCAAATTAATATATACTTTGCAAAAAACTTCATCTAAACAAATTGCCAGTAGTTTATACAACCATATTTATCTTAATAGGTTTTCTGCATTCTGGTCATAATTCAATGAAGCTCTGTTTCTTTACTTTAAGAAAATCTAGTTAGTGCTGGTGACTTTTAATAACTTTTAGGTGCATTTGCTTTAAATGATTCCTGCTTTACTGAAAGATTTTTTTTTTTTTAAAGAAAAAGCTTGAATATTCCTTTTCTATCAACTTTAGGACAAAACATACTTCTCAGAAATGACTGATTAAATGAAGAAAACAAGGATGCCTCGTGATTATTCTGGAATTCTTTTATCCTTGGTAACGGAACATTGCCTTAAATTGATAGAAAGAGAGAGGGCATGTGGGAAAAAAAAAACCCCAAACAGAAAAGCTTCTGTGAACAGGAAAAAAGCCCAAGTAAAACTTACTCTTAAGAAAGACTGCCCAAATTTAAGAGACTCTAGCTGTTTTAGAATGTAGTAGGTTATAGAAAGATGCAGTAGTATTGGTTGCATGTTGTCATACTGTAGTAATCCTTCAACTGCTGTGTAGATACTGCAGTTTTTAACCATCAAACACTCAGCAATAAGCTTCCATCTACGTAACAGGTATAATAATCACATGGATTAGGCAAGGGTAAAGGCAGAGCTTTCTTGAGGGACAAGCTGATTTGAAACTTACGCTCTAATTAGAGCTGGCTCAGACAGCAGCAAGCTGAAGCTAGTACCCTGGACTAGCTGCCAGCTTCAGCAGCCATACTGCAAAGCAGGCATGAAAGAGGAAAAATCCACTTTTTTTTTTGAATAAGCAGTTAGTCAAAATGAACTTGACAGCCATTCCTCCTGCACACATGGGTATGTGAAGCAGCAGAGCATTGGTTCCATGTTTAACAAGCAAGCCAAGCGGCTGTGCGTAACAAGCTCTGTTAGTGACACAGCTTACAGCTCCCATGGAAGCAGGCCACCCTGCAAGGCTGAATCTCACTATGTCCTGCTCCTAAGGCTGGTATTTTGAGCAGTGTTTAACTATGTAATGCATCTTTACATATGCCGTGTGTGGCTATGCTTGTGTTATACATCAAGCCTCTAGCATGTGTACCTGCTCACTGCTGCAACTGTTTCCATCTTAAGACACTAAACCCTCATTTAGGCTAACAGCACAGCACCACTGAGACCAAGCCCTTGTCAAGGGGTTCATTGTTTTCAGGTGGCAGTCTCTAGTATCAGCTTGCTTCCACAGGGCAGAGGAAGTAACTACATCTCTTCCAGTTTTCCCTGTCTTAGAGAAAACCTCTGATTAACCAAGGGGTAGCAATAATATAGAGGTACAAGGATATATGTGGCTGTGACTCGTCTTCCTAGAGCACAAACTCTGCTTGCTCACTTGTGAGCCTGAGGATCCTCAGAGCATCCAACCAGCCTATGGGTTGGACTTTCTGAGTGGAAAGGAGTTAGGGTGCAATTCAGTGTTATGGCTGAGTGGAGTTAATAGGTTGCTCGTAATAAGAAGAAATTACTTGCTCCTCCTTCCCTCCCTTAGCCAACTCTCATCCTAACCCCATGATTTCTTCCTCTCAATTCACTAAACTTCAGCAAAAAAAAAAATTACTCTGATCACCAGGGTAATAATTTCCTGCTATTTTACTTCAATCGGATTCCTGTATGAACAGATCTATGTCAGAGCCACCTTGGGGCAAGTAAGTGTAAACACAAAGACAGAGAAGGACAATGTAAAAAGAGCAGCCCTGGAAGGAGGAACAGGTCCAAAAGACTGATAGATCTGGCTTGAGTTATCTCACAGAAGCACAGTCCTCAGTCTGAAACCCAGGTTTACCACAGAACGTTACACTGACTGCATAGCTTTGGGATCCAGTCTTTAGGTTAACTGAAAGGTGGTATGTGAATATATGCATGTGCAACTACATTCTAATAGGAATAGCGTCCAAATAAGTAAATGAAAAGCACCTCTAATGCTTTTCATGTCAGCAGTCTGTCAGACAAAAGCACAGGAATTGCTCTTGAGAAGCTATGAATTGTGATGTCTGGACTTCAGGTGCAGATTTGAGTTTCATCCACAGGAGCAGAAAGCTGCTAGGGTTAGTTTTCGGATAAAAATGTGTCTCCCGTACAAGACCAGATCTCAACACATTAAAAACCCACAGATACCTTGCCTCTGAATTGATGATCTTTGGAATACGTTCACATAGGAGGTAATTCTGGTTACACTGATTTCAGTAGACTCAGGATTCCTTCTGAGTTTTTAGGCATAAATTTTTTTTTTTTTAAAAAAAAAAAGGACTATAGTAAGGCCAGTTCCTAGCCTATAAATAAAGCACATTTTCAAACAATAAAATCTTGAAACATGGAAGCACCACAAAGAAGCTGTAGTTTCAGAACAGTTTTTTTTTTTAAAAAAGGACTTTAGTAAGGCCAGTTCCTAGCCTATAAATAAAGCACATTTTCAAACAATAAAATCTTGAAACATGGAAGCACCACAAAGAAGCTGTAGTTTCAGAACAGTGCATCACCTATTCTGGCTAAAAAAATTATCACTGTGCAATAATTAAGTATACAGGTACTCTCACTTAAGTTAGTTCAGCAAGTGTGTTGTATTGCAAGACTGGGGTCATAATATATGCTTTTTATAACGAAACACCCACCTACCACCTTAGATTCCAATATATACACTTACCAAAAGAACTATTCATATAGTAGGATATTGTTTATTCCACAGACTATTAGGAAGAGAATCTTACTCTGTTTCCCAACTACACAGTAATAAACTGATGCTGCCACTCTATTTTGACAAGAAAAAAAATTAAGACCCAAAAAGCTACATTATAAAGACCCAGAACTGTGTGTTCTAAAGAGACTGCTCATTGTCAAGCATTTATATTACCATTTGCAGTGGAAACCAGATACCATTTTAACAGGTTTTTCTGAAGAAGAGGTGGCAAAAGGGAAAGAAGATAAGGACAGCACTTTTCACAGTGTAACATTTACCTGAAAGAACAAGTAAGAAATGCAAGACGAGGTCAGCATTAACATGCATCCAAGTAAGTCTTTTAAAGAAATTTAGCAATCTGAAAAGGTACATGGATATAGAGCATTTAAAAAACAGAGTAAAAACCAGTAAGAAATCGTCATGGATTTGGGGCAGGAGGTTTGAAGAAACCAATCTTCCGGCAGTATCGGACAATAAATGGCACAGAAACTATAGTAATGCTGATTCGTACTGGAGCAAACAATTTGTGAATAGCATATGCCAACACAAATGTGCTTGTACCAGCAGCCATTTTAGATTGCAACGATGATTCACTGAAACCAAGTTTGAAGAGAACTGCAGTCATATCCACACCACTGGGGAAAAAGAAAACAAGTTTTTTTAGTTTATTTTAAGCTTGCATGCTAAAGAATATAAATTAAAATTGCTATTTTTTCAGGGCATTTAACATGGCACACTTCCAACTCTGGAATTTATGTTTAAATCTAGATGTTGTTAAATAAAAAAAACAATGAATTATTTCAGTAGTAACAGCTCAAATTACTTCTGTAGCAACAACACATGCAATATTTTCAGATGCACATTTTTTTTTCTGAAATTGACAAGTCCCCTGTGAAGTCAAATATGTTCTTAGTTTTACAACTGTATAGCTGCATCATGGGCATGGAGAATATTCAGCCCCATGCTCAACCTTCTGATAAAATAATCTATTTCTCTACTTTTGAATTTTAATAAAATTAGAAATTTGTGAATTTGTGTTGGAAATTCATCTTCCCAAAATTTACAATGAAGTCTATTCTGTGTCTTGATGAAATTTATCACATAAATATAGATAAACCCAAACCAAATAAGGTACCTGTTGTTAGGCTTAGAGTGTTATAACAGAGGAGTACAAAGCTGTTAAAATAATAAGCACCTTATCTAAAATCTAGCAAGTGAAGGAAGTATTACAGATCTCAAATAAGAATTATCCACCAAATCCATTAATATTTTAATTCTTTATAGACACAGCAGCTTTCATCAAGGTTCCTATGTTTGGAGTAATTTTCCAAAAGAAGTTGTTACTGTCACTTTTCCCCCTTCACTTGCCAGTATAGTATCTTGTAACTGGGAGTTAAATCATACCTGAAGGAAAAAAATTTCATTGTCACCCTGTGCCATGATGTAGTAAATGAGAGAAATCAGGCATTTGCATATTCCCTCTGAAGTCAAGAGTAAGTGGCAGGGAATGTTTTGAGAAACAATGTGTTTCCCTATTTCTTCAGTTGAAATACCTCATGCTCAACAGACATATCTATAACTGATGCATTCCCACCAGAAGCCACATACACAATTTCCCACCTGACTCCTATACGGTTATCTAGTATTTTCTTTTTTGATCTAATCCTGTTTTAGCGGCCGTTGCCTTCTGCAGTTTCAACTGCAGAAACTGAGTTCAACACCCAGAAAAATAAATTTATCTCTAAGCTCCAGCACTTTTGTATAGCTCTATCTGTACAGACCATATGACTGTTTGAGAACAAAAGATATCTCTGCAGAACAAAAATAAATTCTCTCATCTGGCTAGTTACTCTGGTGCAGTCACTACTCTGCTGTTTTCACCTGCTCACCATGAACCTATGCAAAAAGACCATGTACATCTTTCTTCTCTCATGCCTGATGGGAGATTAGATCCATTTATGGATCCATCTATACTCAAAATTCAGAAGATTACTGTGTATAGATCAAACAGGCATAGAGTACATGTCTCCTTCCAGAAATAAGGATAATGGTATATTTTTCTCGGCTAAACCATTACCTAGAGGCTACAGACAACTGTACAAACCTCACCTTGACACAGCCAGGTAGAAGATTCCTAGAGATACTAATGAAATTCCAACATGGAATGAAACCCCTACAGCACCATATTCTTTAAAAACTTGTTTCAGTTGCTGGGATTTGTTGAGTTTCCTGTTTTCACCACCGGGATCCGTGGCTGCCTTTTCGGGGGATACACCTGCATCCTAAAAAGAAAACAATTAAAGGTATTTATTAGCATTAAGCACAATATCATATTCTAGTCAGTTGAACCAATCTGACGTAAGGAAAGAAGTGGCTTGCATACAGTGCTGTTCAGAATGCTTTGGGAAAGATAGTAACACACTTTTCCTCTTTCACATCAGGATAGCAGATGCCTGTGGCAGAGCCCATGCAAGCTTCCTGTTCCCAACTATTCATATCAAAGGGATGCACTGAGCTTGGTGCAAGTTCTTACACAATGTAAGTTTCATAATTAAAAAGAGTTATTACAGTCCCAATCTTCCATTTGATCCAAACGTGTGCCAAGGCACACCCAGACAGTTGCCTGAGAGATGAGACTGAGGTGCCAAAGAGATCTTTGCTTACATCCACTGCTCAGCTTTATACAGTGAATTCTTGTAACGTAGCGTCTTGTTCAAGGGCTAAGCAGCTGATGGCACTGGAAGCCTACATGATACCAGACTGATGCTGGCTTACTAACAACTTACTGATAGAAGAGGTCCAACATTTAAGTTCCTATAAATCACCCTCTGTAGATCAGCTGAAAAAAGGAAGAACTGGGAAACTGCTACTGTTGACAGCAACAAGCAATACTGTTGCCACAGTGTAGACAATAGCTACACAGACATGCAGTGTAAAGAGCCTAACTTCACTGAAAATGTTTGTCGTAGTAAAATTTATTGTCAGCTTTTTATCTGGGTAAATTTAAAGTGCAGAACTTCATACTAAAATATACCCCAAAGCAATCTGATAGTGCAATGCAGGCAAAGAAGGGCATATATGCTGCTAGTAATAAGACAGCCCTTGGATACCTCCTCATACTTGCCACAGAAGAAATACGAACTTGAGAAAGAAAATATTTCCACAGAGACTTCAAGATTTTTCTCTAATTAGTAAGCAGTGGTCAGGAAAGATTAGAAGAGTCCTTTCTTTTCAGCTGAATTCAGCAGCAGTCGTGACAGTATGACAGCCAGACTAAAGGCCACTGCTGCCCACAGGACAGGTACAGCTGCTGAGTGCCTGGCACCACTTTGTCCTACTGTGGATCAGTTTCAAGGCACACAAATTAGAAGAAAAACACTTTTGATTAATCCTTGGACTTGGCGAGATTGTAAATTAGGATACAAGACAGGCTCCTCTTACAACACTCATGGTAGGATGAACTCGCTTTAATCAATGATTTTAACTATACCAATCACACCGCCCCCCAAAACAACCTACGTTTGCTGCTGGTTTTCTCTTTTTAATCGTAATTTGTGTTACTTTGTATTTCATTTTAACAGAAAATCATGCTGATCCATAAATATGTATTTAGGGAATTGTGTAGCTCAACTTATTCTGATTCTCATATTTTTAAAATTTTCAACTGTAATGGATAATGTTAGATCTTTTCTTTTTTTGGCTCATGAACCAAAGCAATATTTGAATAGAAACTGAAACTTGACTAAGAAAAAAAAATGTCTGGTAGAAAAAGAAATCTTTTACTGTTTAAACCAAGCAGTTTTAATACTAGAGGGTAAATGAGGAAAAAACATTCAAATATATTTTTTGAAGCAAGCTCATTAAGCAAAAGAATGGATTCATAGTTAGATAATCTAATTACTTTCAGCCACTAGAAGTAATTAGATTCTATACATGGCTGTACTACATGGCTGCTACTTCACCATGTTTTAGAACTCATTCTCTTACTCTTCAATTTTATTATAGGAAAGGGCGGGTGGGGGGAGAGGAGGGAAGAATGCTGTAAAATTTAAATACCGAGTTATTGAATAGAACTAGTTGAATAAACTGAACAAAATAACCTCATAATACCTTCTGCCAAAAGCTGTCCTAACAATTCAGTCAACATCCCATGCTTAGTCAAGAATACTCATTTATTCAACAGTGTGATTTTCCTAAAAGCCAAGCGTGGTTTGAATGGTATTTTAAGATTTAATAGCTTATAGTGAATTTTTCATCCAAACAAAGATGATCATTGACTGTTTAAGGAGCCAAACATGAAGATTTTCTTCAGATAGCTGCCGTGAAAACAGGAGCTTACAATCTACAGAGATACGTAAGCCTCAGAGGAACTCTGGGTCTTACAGCCACGCTTGCAAGATGGATCATAAGGACTGAAAAATAGCTTGTTCTCATCATCCAAGGACATTTCAATTCACTCATGCTCTCAGGCTCATATGCCAGGTAATTTCTGAATGGTATCGAAGCAAGACATTAAAAAAGTACCACTTCAACAGATATTATTTGGACTAGCCAGTACGGTCACGTCCTGAATAATGTACAACTTAGCAAAGAAAGCTACCTATTTTTCATATAATTCTGCTACAATATTTCTGCCAGAAAGCCAATTTTATTCCCATCGTTTAGACAAAGATTCAGCTTCTGGACAAACTAAGGCATGAAAACAAATCTGAAACGTCATGTTATGCTTCGTAATGAGGCTACAGAAATTAACCTGAAAATCAAGCTGTAGAAATTAAACTGTAAATGAGGCTTTATACGGAAAGCTCACATTCACAATCTTGGCGCAAGCAGGTGTAAAGCAGGTCCCTGTCTCCTACAGAAACCCAACATAAACATGATTTAATAATCTACTGCAGTGTAAAAGAAGTTACGCGTAAGGCCTTCATTTGCTTTTCTCCCTGACTCAATTAAAATTTAAAACCAAAACAATGAACGGTGCAAATTCGTATAAATTTTTCCTTCCCATCTCCAAAAAGTGAACCGAATGTTGAAAGCACGGTGAAACACATAATTAACCGGGTGCACGTTCCCGCATCTCTCGGCCAAGGAAGAGGCGCAGGGTCAGGCCGGGGACCTCCCCCCGCAGGCGGGCCGCCAGCGTGCCGCCCGCTGCCGCTTCCAGGGGCTGAAACCCAGGCACTTCTAGAAAACCCTTCCAGCCACCGGCAACACCCGGGCTTCTCTGTGTCTGCCTGAATTACTGAAAACCCCTTTTTTCATTCGTCGCGACTCACCTGAAGTGCTCAAACCCTACAGCCCCCAGGCAATCCCCCCCCCGGAGGCGGTGCAGGCCAGCTGAACCCCTAATCTTGAAAACACCCCCAAAAGCTGGAAAATCACTTCCAGGCCAGGGCAACTTGTGCTTTAATCAAAGCTGCGATCCGCTCCCCACCAAGGCATCTCCCACCTGAGGCGCGCCCTGACGCCGCGCTGCCCCCTCACACAGCGCAGCACCTCAGGAGGAGCCGGCGGGTGATCGCAGCGTTACGAGGGGCAGCGGCGGGCTGAGGCCAGCCCGGGCGAGGCGAGGACCGCAGCCCAACGCCCGCGGGACCGCCGGCGGCCGCCGCGCGCCCAGGCGCCCCAAAAAAAACCGCCGGCGGCCGCAGCGGGCCCAGGCGCACCAGGCGGTACATAGCAACGGCGCAACAGCAGCGCAGCCCCGACTCTGAGCGCCGAGCAGGGGCGGGCGGGAGACCAGACCTGACAAGCCGAGCACCCGCCCCGCCGGGCGGGCTGGCGGTTATTTGAGGGAGGGCGGTTGCAGGCGCAGCTGCCCGCGGAGGGGGAGGCAGCGCTGTGCGCTTTCGGTCTGAGGGAAAAAAGCCTCTAAGGGCGGTGTGTTGCCACTTGGGACGGTGTAAGGCAGTCCCCTGCCTTGTCTTGGCTGGCTAAACGCCCTCCAGCGCCCTTCTGGAGGGAGCAGTAGGAGAGTGACCACAGCAGCTTGTCGGTGTGGCCTTCAGGTAGCTCGCTAAGGGGGGAGAATTGCCTTTTCAGTCCCCTCGGCAGTATTTAGGCCTGTGAGCGTGGAGGGGAGGTGGTGCTGGTCGCTTTTCAGAGTGCTCCCTAAGCCTGCACGTACATTAAAGTGGTTAAAGTGTCATTGCTGCTGCAGGTGTGGTGCATGGGCTCACAGTGCAGGCAGTTTATTTAATTACTGACTTTATCTTGAAGAGCTCTAGTAATTTGCCGAGACTTCATGGTATAGGGCAGAGCGCAAACAGAGAGCATTTTCAGTCCCAAAGGGTTCATAGCATCTCCGAGACCAGAAGAAGCCTTCCAACAAACACTGAGAAGTTCTCGCATTCGTAGCCGTGTTTCTATACTAAAACCACAACAGGAAAAGTAGGAAATAAAAATACCATTGAAGTGTAACATCACTGTGGGAGAATTGCAGATGTTGGGGGGGGGGGGGGATATTCCTGTCCCAGGGCCCTGGGGAGCTCTATTGCAATGAGTAGGGCTTTGATTGATGGGAAAGATCTGTCCACATAGGGTAATTTTCAAGATTGATGCTTAACCATGGTGATTTCCAGACCTTTTGTCATGTTTCAAGCATTCAATGTTAATGCTACTGAACACGGTTTAATATCTGCAAGTTGACCGCCACCCTGCACAATGCCAAGGCTTTTCATAACTGCGGTTGCTGCAGTTTTCTGAAATGGTGGCTCCTTGCCATCACAGACAAGGCTGCCATCACAGACAAGGCTGCTCACTGCGGGGGGAGGGTAAATATTGCATAACTGTATTAATGTCCTGAAACAATGCATCCGAATGCTAAGCTCTGGCAATAAATACTTCTCTCTTCCTAATTACTAAGCCTTTCCTCTTCAAGCACGTCGTTGTTTTTACAGTGATGTAAGCACACAGGGCTGAGTACAATAGGAGAACTGTGTCAGATAAATAGGAGTTTTTCCCTCTGGAAGAGCTTGCAGTTTAGGAGCACGAGCTGGAACTGCACAGGACGACACTGAATGGTACAATGCTGAAACGGCATGGTGGGTGGCTCTTGTTAAGTGCAATGCACCACAGAACAGATGGGTTTCAAGGAGTATCTTGGAGGAAGAGAGGGAGAGAGCTTTGCATGCATTAAAATAAAGTCTGTTCTGGGCATAACAAACAGTACTGCCAGTTCTAGGGTTTTACACTTCCTTTAGTTCTTGCTTCATAAATCTAGTCTCTCTCTGAATGCTTTGTAGAAGAATAGTTTCTCGGAACACAATTTCACGTATTTATTATGTTCACGTATTTATTATGTTTATTACTGTTCCAAAGCGATTTGCTCATGTGTTTTCTATGACTATTTAGACACCAGCACCACCTGAGTAGACAGATGATGTTAACATGGCAGTTAAAACTTGCGATTTGTGTGGCCGTTGGCAGAACAAGACTTTAGACCTAACAAAGAACTGCCTTGAACTCGTATTTACTAGCTGCTAACAGGCTAGATCCCATGGGAGGATGTGACGTTGTATCCACCGGAGTGGGCGCAACAGCAGTTGAATGTGAGGGAGAGATTCACTTTTGGTTACTGAATTTCTCTATTATGTTCATACAGTGCATTTATCTTTCATGTAAATAGAGGTGATTGCTATTGTTAGTGAGCAGGACTGACTAGTAATTTTCATTTTTCTAAAATTAACTCAGATTGTCCTATTGCTCTTTGATAATTAGAATATCAGTCTTTATAATATGTCAATTTTTCAAGCAATTCCTTAATAATTTATCTTATATAAATGTACTTCTTTCTCTGTCATTCATTTTCCCACAAGCAGTCACGTATCAAAATGTTTTGGTATCTATACTAAATATAAGATAAACTGAAAAAAAATGGATGCTACAAAATGCTAAAATATTTACAGATCTCTGAAGTCTGTTCAGCAGTCCTGAAACAAGGCCATGATGTGTCAAGATGTGAACCCCAAATCAAGATAGGTTAGGGATCTATTATTTAAAAATAGACTCAGATTGATGATGCACTTGATCTGCTGCATTTGTGTCCTGTCTGAACCACTGCTTCATCTCTCAGCCTGTTGCTATGTAGACTTACTGTTATTTTCCTTTTGTAATTTTCCAACAGCCAGATAGTGCTGCTCTGGTTTTGTGTTATTCATGTTATTACTCCATTGTTACTCTTTATCGTCAGTAAGAGTAAAGCTGGGAATTAAGATGAGAGATTGCCAAAGAGGCAGTAAGTAAAACGTCACCAGAAGATGCATTTGGATTCCTGTGAGGCAAAGACTTTTCCATAATGACCGTTCTCGTATTATTTGTCAGAAATGTTTGTCATGCTTTTATCAGAACATTTATAATGAAGTAGCATAGGGGATACCCTTTACCAAGATATCTATTATAAACTCCTTACATAACACTTCCCTTCCATAATTTGACTTTTTGAAGTCAAAATCTCTCTTGGTTTTACAGTGCTGCCGGAACAGTGACAGAACTGAAGGATGCTATAACATGCAATTTCTGTAACTAGAAATCCATGTTGCAGAATCGTTCAATCTGTGGTTTGCCAAGAATGCAAGCTAAGTACGGCCACTGATGCTTGTGGGACCCTGCAATGAGCTAGTTCAGGAATTAAGTTCATTTGTAAGGATAAATGTGATTAGTAATTCAGAAACAGCTTACTTTTAATAATATCTTAGTCAAACTACAGTGAAGTTTTGATGATGAAGAAATCTTAGAAGTCGTCTAAGTTTTATAAATTGCATGAGAGCAAATTCATTACATGTTTTTCAAATCATTTAATCTACAAATAATTCGGAGATCGTGAATGTGATAATTCCAAAGTGCGATGCCTTCTAATGGGCAAGTAGGAACTGGTTCCTGTCTGAGAGTGGGAGGCAATTGCTTATGTGTGATGGAAGCGGTATCGTTTAGTATTATTACAACTGTGGTAATGCCATGTACATAAATATAATGAGAGAAGTTGGGAACTGACCATGAACCTCATTCAGAAAAGAAGCTAAGGTAAATTTTTTTATATTATAGTAAATTAAGGGCATGGCATGTGAACTAGTCTTAAGTGGCCTAGTTCTTTAGTACATTGGCTTTTTCACATCATGTTCCAAGGGTGCTTAAATTATGAAGATGAGAAAATGTGGGTAGTTGCTAAGATGAACATGAATTAAAATGATATCAGGAAAGGAATATCAGGAAATTTAATTTCCTTGAAATTAAAATTTGTATCTGTGCAAAGTATAACACAGTGCCTGTTTATTATTTGAGGAATCCATATGCAGTTTATAAACATATTTAGTAGGAAATGTCTGTGTCATGAATGCTTGAATACGTACAGTTAGCTTTCAGGGACATCTTCCTTCTCAAGCGAAAACAGTGGAAAATCATTAAAACTTGGTATCTTCTATTCAATGGGAGAACACTGCACTGCTAGGATAGCTAAATCCAAAGGAAGCCAGCCCAGGTATTTTTGTCTGTGAGAGGAATTTAGGGTGAGAAAAATCTCCAAACAGGGCAGCAAAGAGGGAATGATTTGCTTTGTTTACCTGCAAATCCTTGAAGAACGGGGCTGTGTGACCCTGTTTCATTCCAGTGCCCTGGAGATGTGTGGGAACTTCCATTGCAGAGCTCTGGTTGTGCAAGCAAAGGGAACCATGGCTTCAACCCAAACCCCTCTAAAAGAGAATCTGGCAATGTATGTGATGACTCGTGGGAGCCTCTGCACAAAGACAAATTTCACCTACTAAGCAGATCTTGCTCTTTGACCCCCTAGTCTTGTTGAGCAAAAAGGCGTGTAAAGTAAAAATAGAAGAAAATAGAAGTGAAAACATCCATATTGCTTGTATTTATGTGACCTGCTGCTGATTTCATGTGCCCATCCTTGGCATGCATGTGAGTGAGCAGTCCCTCTCTTTCTCATGGAGGAAGCATAGTTCTTTCAGGATCTTGGTGCCTTAGTTGATACAAGAAGTCAGCAGCATTAATTCTACTCTCCACAAGAGTCCTCTCCAGTAATCTTCTGATGAGATGTTTTTTCATTTGGATGGTGTGATGTATAGCCATTTGGATGTGTGTGCGTGAAAATCACATCCAATGCCTCCTGCTAGGTGTGGGATTGATAGCCCCAGCAAAGCAAGAAAGTTACTTTTTCACAGAACAGATAAACTACAGGGAGTGGCAGCAGAAGCAGCTTCCTTGGCACCCACTAAGGTGTTTCACCCTAATGTGGAGGGTAACTCAATCTCCATGTCCAAACAGCTCTTGGCCTTTTTGCCCTATCTCTGCATAATAATGCTGCAGTGAGGATACACACAACTTACTTCACAGAAGTCGCTGGCTGTTCTCACCTGTCAGTAACTATTAGCCCTGGTTACATTTGAAGCAGCAATAACTGCTGTACCCACTGCTAGTTCCTTGAGACGTGTTATCACGTACCCATTCACAATTTGGAAGACAGGCTTTAACATTTGACTCAAGTCACCTTTTTTGGTATCCAGCAGTTTCCATTACTCATGTCTGTGAAGAAGTTAACATCTTCTACCCTTAGATTGATATTTATTTTGCAGTGAAGTGCAAACAATGCATTCAGGTACCTGGCGTTTGGCATTTGGATAAGATTTCAGCTGGCTATTTAATTTATCATTCAGTGCAACCCATTCTGAGGAGA